AAAGGTATCTAACCCCTTAACCGACTCCAAGATGAGTAGTTACGCTGTAACATTCCTCCCCCCTAAAGAAAACAACCCCCCTTCTCAAGACCCAACAATCATATTACATTTTTTGTGCTACTGGTGACCCAAAAAAATCTTGGAATTGTTGCTCTATTTCCTTGGAACTTCTTTAAGAAGCATCTTCAGTGTTCTGCCCTTCCTGTTGTACCAAATACTGCACTGCAGCTGTATTTCCTTGCTTGACAACTGTTCCTTGACCATCCTTCTGTCCAATATAGCAATTGGCTTGATGGCCTCTTCCACATGTCTTGCTTGCCACCACTCAGGAATGTGAGGTTGATGAGGCAATGTACCCCTAAAAGTTTTAAGTTGAGACACATGGAAGTTGTGATGAATTTGGGGTGGCTGGGGTAGTTGTAGCTAATAAGCTACGGGTCCCACCTTAGCTTGTACTTGAAAAGGTCCATAGAATTTAGGGGACAATTTTTAATTAACTCTGGCCTGCACCATCTGCTGCCTATAAGGTTGTAGTTTAAGCCATACCCACTCTCCCACTTTCAAATGTATTTCAGATCTATGCTTGTCTGCTTGAACTTTCATAATGTGTTGAGCTATAAGTATTTGGAACTTTAGCATTTGGATCATGGCTTCCCTTTTCTGCATAGATCTGTCAACAACCTCCACCTTAGTCTCTTTTGGCAGATATGGCAAATGAATGGGAGGTGGCTGGTTATAGACCACTTCATAAGGTGTCATCTGAATGGTTGAGTAGTAGGAAGTGTTGAACCACCATTCTGCCAAGGGCAGCTACTTACTCCAATCCTTTGGCTGCTCATTGCACATACACCATAGATAGGCTTCCAAGCATCTGTTCAGTACTTCTGTTTGTATTTGTCTGATGGTGATAAGAAGTAGACAGAAGTACTTCTGTGCTTTGTATAGGCATTAGTCATTAAACTAAAGCCTTCTAAAAATCACTTAGGAATATTTTATTCCTGTTATTTACAATTGATTGAGGCCAACCATGAAGTTTGAATACACTATCAAGGTAAACTTGGGCCACCTGACCCACCTCCCTGGCAGAATATGGGTGCCTCAGTGTTATAAAATGAACATACTTGCTTAACCTATCCACCACCACCTTAATAACTTCTCGAACCTTGCCCTCTACATTTGGGTAACCCCTCTATGAAGTCCATAGAGATATCTTTCTAAACCTCATTCGTTATTTGCAGGGGTTGTAGTAGTCCAGGGTAAGGGCTAGTGTCATATTTGCAACTTTGGCAAACCAAGCATTGTCTGATATGACTATGGACATCCCTTGCCATACCCTTCTATAGGAACAAGTTCTTTAATTTTTTAAGTGCAGCATCCCTTCCTGAATGCCCTCCAATAGATGAACTGTGTACCCACTTGAGTAATTGAGCCCTCAACTCAGCATTTGGCCCTTATGACTAGCTTTCCCTTTTTCCTCAACAAGGTCCTTTGAAGGTTGTACTTCTTCACTGCTACCCCTTGCTGCAATTTGGCTATGACTGCCATTAAATTGTTATCAGGCTGGTAGCTCTCTTCAATGGATTTTAATATATATCAGACTGCACCCCCGTTATAGCCAACAACATCAGTTCTGATCCTTTAACCCTGGTTAGAGCATCTGTCACTACATTTTCAACTCCACTTCTGTACCGTATCTCATATTGAAATCCCATCAGCTTAGACAACCAAAATTGTTGGAAAGGAGTAGAAATCTTCTGCTCTAAGAGCCCCTTCAAACTTCTTTGTTCTGTTACATACATAGATGATAGGCTTTTGTCATTTCTCTAGGCACCTGGAATCTCTCTACCACTTTAACTTTAGGTCCCTGTAGCCCCTCAGTATGTGGCCAATTCCTTTGAAGCTGACCTCCATCTGCAACTCCTTAAAAATCTATTTTATAGTTCCTAGGGATTCTATTTTATAGTTCCTAGGGGTAATTAGCCATTGTACTCCTAGAACTATATCACAGTTTCCCAAGGGAATTAGAAACACATCAGTGCTGAAATCTGTGCTTTGTAATCTCCACCTGAAACCTCTACAAATATATTGATATACTTCAATGTATTGCCATCAGCCACAGTCACTGGTTGCAATGTAATTGCCTCCAATTCACAGACTAGTTTCTTGGAATGAGCAGTATCCAAAAAATTGTGAGTGCTACCAGAATGGCAGAATCTATTAGGATTTGGAGAGCCTTCTTCCCATAATGTCCCGCTACTCTCATGGTCTGATATCCCACAATGCCAGACAGCATGGAATGAGATATAATGTTCTGTTTCCAATGCCTCAAAGTCCACCTTGTCAGTTGTGGTCTCTTTCATATGGCTGGTCACAGACCTTTAACACTATTTTCTACCCTTTCAGCAGCTGTCAAGACCTTAGTAGGTATGAGTCATCTAGCAGTGTTATCAGATGAACTAGCCTCATTGGTAGTGGGACTAGGACTTGGGTGCATTTGAATCTTATATCCATTAGAAAAGCTGTTACCACTGTAAGTAACCATAGCTTTAGGTGTAGCTTGTACACCATCCTCCTGCTGTCATGCAATCTCGCAAACTGTACAGCTTCATCCAAGGACACAAGTCTTAGCGCCTTCACAAAGGCCTTCAAGTGTGCCTTCAAACCTCCACCAAAACTGTCCACAAAGTAATCCTCAGGCAATACAGGAGTCTTTTGCAGCATCAAGGATTTTATATTTTTAATTCCTCAAGCTTCTCCAAATATTCTTCAATTGAGCCCTCTTGTGTCAATCTGTTAAAGTCCTCCACCACCTTACCGTCAATCTCTTTGATACACATCTTCGATAAAGTCTTCCCACTCAACTGCCTTTTTGACAGGGATATAGCCGGCGTACCACGTTTCAGCCTTACTGACCAAATGAATAGAAGCGACGTCTAATCGCTGATTCTCAGGAATTTTGCACGGATTGAAGTATCACACACATTTCTGTATCTCTGATATATTTGTGCATGTGTTAATTCATATGTTCCTGCGTAACTATTTGGTGAATACTTCCATGGGGATACTCTTGAATCTTGGTTGATAGATAAGATGATTCAACATGCTTTTTTGTATAATCAATGATTCAGTCCCATGACTCCCACTGTCACAAACAGTTCTTAAATCCTGTTATTGACTTGCGACCAGATGTAATCTATTGTGCAGCTCATTGTAAGCTTATTATTATGGTGACTGATATGTCAATGACTCCACTACTTTAGCATAATAACGTTGCTACTCTGAATTCAGTGAGATGGCTTAACTATAGATCTTGATAACTTTCTGAACCTAAAATTCTCATGTGACATTGATACTCAACAGCAACAACAAAATTCAGTATAACAGTATAACCCCAATTTCATTTGGGTTCTTGGGTTCATGATGTACAAAAGCTTCCCCTATAAAAATTAAAGAGGCCATTTCCACTAAACCTTTATGCATTGCTGCATTTACTATCCAAAATTCCATAAAAGGTTAGAACCAAATGAGGATTAATGTGTCATTTTGGTATAGTCTATTTATCCATTGGAAGCTATAATTTTGTCAATAATGGCTCTCATAGCTCCATTATTGATGGACACAAGGATTAAGTCCCATGCTATTAATAAATCTTGGGATTGACATCTGGGTATATATCGTCTACTGTGCAATGACAACGACTTTACTACTTTAGAATAATAAAGTTACTTTGGATTAAATGAGATGCCTAACTGTATTTCTTCACAACTCCATTGACACTATAATTCTCATTTGATATTGCTACTCAACAACAAAACCCACAATGATCACAATTCATTTGGGGTAAGGGGGTCAAGATGTAAACAACCTTACCCATGTTAACTGTTTTCGTTAGACGCTTGATGTATTGTTTGCTTATTGAATTGACTACCCATAAATTCATAAAGTAAGAAGCTAAGGAAATTTTATGTATCATTTTGCTATAGTCCATTTTTGTCTGAAGCTAAAACATTGTTGAGTCTCTTTTAGCTCAATTGGAAATGAGACTGTACTGCTTAAAGGTTAAAACAATGTAATGATTTTTTGTGTGTATGAGTAGCCTTAAGTGTCTGCAATGCAAGTCCATGCTCAATAAATCCTCTTGTTAGCCATCATAAGGAATGAAGAATTCACATTCCTAGAGAATGAAATTCAAAATCATCTGTACTCTTTGTTCTTGGCATTGCCTAAGAGATCCTTCGCTAAACAATTTATAATGCTTTGACTCCTTGGCCGTTTAGTTGTTTACTCATCTTTATACTTCTTCTTCACTCTTCTAGAAACAGCCTCTCTACCCTATTGGGTAGGAGTAAGGTCTGTGTACCTGAGACCCGTTGTCATCCTTTTGTGTGAAGATAAATTTTGCATTTCTCATATAGCTGATTCTTTAGGAGTGGTGATTTCCTAGTTTAGACTTACGATCCAATTCAGCTATTTACTCCAAGCATAGTGTCATCGTTTCTTTATTGCATAAGCCATTATTTTGTTTGAGTCCTTCACAAGGAAGGGTTAGAGGAATGAGGTGTGTTTGTTCAGAGACTCCAAAATTTGAGGTCTGCTTTTAATAAATCCTCCTCAGCTCTCCATCGAACCAATATATAAATGATTTGAACACTTGTTTCCTCTCCTCCCATTCTTTTGAACCAAAACAAGCACAGAGTGATTGTTTTGCCAGGTTTTTTTTTCAATTCTTTTTTGGTTACTTCCCCATGCTTAGAACATTTGAGAACATGGCTCAATTCAACTGGTGTGATGCCATGAACAATCAACTCTGTGCGTCCATTTATCTGTTAAATGCTTTCGATTGGCTTTGCATGTGTGTACTAACAAAGGATTAATCTTCATATATACAATGGTAGGAGGCCAAAATGAACAGTGTTCCCGCCTAAAGTTATTGGGCCGGATATGGGCTAATTGGACTGGGTTATGTAATGGGCCTGATATCTGATATTGGACTGCAAATAATTGGCTCCAGGCTGTTCTTGCATGCTGGCTTAAATATAGGGCGGCTGATTTGCTTTGATGGCTCCAGGCTGTTTTTACATACATAGGGCGGCTGATTTGCATAGAACGGCGTACAACATGATGAAAAAAAATTGGGGAGTGTGAGCACTGTATTATTACGGCAGTAAAGCACCTTTTAGGAGCCCAATTTCCTTATTGCCATTTAATGTTTAGGATTTGAAAAAATCTTATGGTACATGAGCATTAAATGCAAAAGATTCTCCCACAAATCCAAGAACATTATTTAACCGAAATTCAAGGGCCATAGTCTCCCTCATCCACAACACTTTCATACCAACAACTCTACCAAGATGACCAAAAAGCCTATAAACGAAATGTGGCACATGCTTGACAAAATTGATAACGAAAAAACGTCATAGATGCTTAAAATAGATGCTTAAGTTACGAGCAATCCGCGTTTATTATGTTCCAGCTTGGTCTAAGGGCAGAGATTCCATGGAAGTCATCTTCCACGACAAATGCATAATTTCATTGTATTGTTTCTTATTTATATTTTCATTCTTCGAAACTCATTACTAAATAATTTCTTTTTTATGCAGGGAACGAGGATTCATGCTCATCTTAAGAGTCCCAAAAAGAAACGTTTTGAAAACCAAATTGTTAGAGATGGCGTCTTTAGAATCCAAAATGTTTTTGTTCATGATAATTACCTTTCATGCAAAACAATTTCGCATAAATCTTTGTTGGTTTTTTATCCAAAGACAGAAGTCAAGACGCTTAGTGAAAAAGATTTTCCAAAACTCAAGTTTGACTTGAAATCATTTTTGGACCTTCAATCTCAAAAGTGATTTACTGTCATATAATGTCTTAAAAAAATTATACACAACCGTTTATTGTATGTGTAATAAACAAAAAAAATTCTTTAAGATATAAGTCCACTAAACATATAATTCCAAATTTTTAGATAAACATACAATTCAAAATATAACACAGATTCTCTTATAAACTACTCCCTCCGTCCGGAAATAAAGTTTACGTTTCTCCTTTTTCTCCGTCCGGAAATAAAGTTTACATTTCTAATTTTAACCCACACTCTTCCAAAAATACCCTTCCCTACCATTTCAATCTTCTCTCTCTCCCCCCTTCCTCCTCTTCTTCCTTAGTTCCTCTTTTCTTCTTTTTTCTTTCTCCCATCCGCCAGATCTTCCGCCAGATCTGTGAATCGAACTTTCAATCCTCCCTCTCCCCCTCCCTCCTCTTCTTCCTCCCCTTCTTCTTCTTCTTCCTCCCCTTCTTCTTCTTCTTCTTCTTCTTCTTCATCCCATTCTCCTTCTTCTTGCTTTTCTTCTTCTTTTCTTTCTCCGGATCTTCCTCTGTTCATTCTCCCGACGCAGCGGCTTCCCTGGTGGACGAGGCAGGAGATCCTGGTGCTCATACAGGGGAAGAGAGTCGTGGAGAGCCGGGTCAGGAGGGGACGAACAGCTGGGCTGGAATTCGGGTCGGCGGAGGCGAGGAGTTGACTGCGAGATTGGCTCTGGCTTTGGGCCCATCTGTGGAGGCCGGTGCCGAAGATCCGGAGGCGGAAACTTTGTTCGACAGCGGGAAAAAGTGCGGCGGCCGAGGATGGGCTGTTTTCCGATTTTGAGCCGTGAGACTGGATTTTCCATAGATGGCGGAAGCTTAGGGAGTTGTGGGCTGGATCCTATTGTGTTCAGGTGGAAAAGCAAAAAGGGGAGAAAGGGGTATTTTAAGTGTTTAGTCAACTCCCAATAAAAATGACAATAAGTCAAAACGTAAACTTTAATACAGAACGGAGGGAGTAAAAAACATAGTAATAAATTTTTAATAATTAATAACATGCATATTTGTTTTAAACCCATTATAATCTATCTCATTATTTTGAATTATTAAAACAATGTTAAAAGAATAACCATATTATTGAGCATTGGATCTTACAAAATTTCAAACCAAATACTTCAATGATATTACGTAATGGTGAAAATGTCCAGTAATCACCTAGATTTCAAATCTAACATATATTTTCTGCTATAAACTATACCAAAAATAATTTTTTTAAAAAAAAAATTAAAATGCATGGTTGTTTAATAGAGAATCTTTTCTATTTATATATTTTGAACTTATGAATAATTATTAAAAATACTTAGAAACATTTTCGAAATCAAAGGATCTAAACACAACTTATGCATGGTTGATTTAGACTACATCTAATCTATTTCATTAATTTGAACTTATAAAAAAATTGACAATATTATTAAATTTATAGAAATTTTTAGATCTACAAAAACTTTAATACTTCAATACCTTAATTCGATGGGAGTGTGAAGTAGCAAAAAAAGATCTATATGAAAAAATTAAATAAGATTACCAGCGATTTCACGGGATGATGTTCCAGGGAAGATATACTCCATCGCTCTAACTGTCATCTCTCGATCTCTCTGCATCCATCGCCGGCTATGGAATAGAGCACCGGTAGATTAGAGAGGGGATAAGGCAGAAGGGCTGAAAATATGTGCAAGTGAGAATACCACGGAGGTTATCTCAAAAATGGATTGGGCTGCGGGAATTGGTCTGCTCACTTTTCAAAAATATATTTTCTGCACTGGGTTATTATTATTATTATTATTATTATTATTATTATTATTATTATTATTATTATTATTATTGTTATTATTATTGTACGGCCCGATTTTTATTAAAACAATTATTTTATGAAAATCCTATTGTATATATTCATATTAAAAAATAACTTTATAAATTTTAAGTTACTGTAATTTTTTCACAATTTAAGCAGAAAATGGATGTTGGTTGAGTCCATGTTACAAGTGCAAGAGTAAACGAGACTCCGAATTTATGGAAGATTGTTGGAAATGCTTTACTGTACGTAGACATCTATCGTGCTTACAAATTGGGGACGTTAGATAGGAATTGTTTTTTGTTTGTAATGATTGTGTGAGACCAACACCACCAATAATGACACGACATACACGCCGACAATCTAAATGATGATGACAGGTAAAAATGTCGGCCAAGAAGTTGTTAATCCACGGTTGTCGTTAACAACGTCAGATGCAAGAATTCCTTTTAGACTTCAAAGGAAACAATTCTCAATCATAACTTCATATGTTATGACAATTAACAAAAGTCAAGGTCAATTTTTGTCCCATGTTGGATTGCTACTCAAGAAACCAATATTCAGTCATGCTCAACTATATGTTGCAATTTCACATGTTACAAGTAGTGAGGGATTTAAGATCTTAATTTGCAATAAAAATTTTCCGTCAACAAATCAAACTACGAATGTAGTTTATAAAGAAGTGTTCCAAAACTTATAACACTACATATCGACTACGGTTGTTCCTGTACATTACCTTATTTTGGGTATTTTTAATATAATTTGTTATCTTTAATTTTTTTAATTTCATATAATGACTAAATGTAATTAATTTTATAGTCCGTGCATCGCACGGGTACGAGTCTAGTTTTGTTAAGCAGCAAAGGCCACACCTTCCAGTCAGGCCCATTCCCTCCCAGCTCTGGTGCAAGAACTTTGGGACGAAAGAGTACTAATCCAGCACTTCTCTGGGAAGATCACAATGCTATGCATGGGTAATTGAGTACTGAAATTGTGTATTTCTTGGATTTTTCAAAGTGGGTGAACCTAAATAGTGTGTGCTGGTGGTTCAAGATGACTACTATTTTGGACTGAGCAATAAAATATACTACTTTCCTCTGTAAGAATGCAACTACATGTTATGGGGATTTCTTGGCTTTTCTAGCTCTTTTTTGGTCCATTCTGCATAGATATATCATGTAGCTGACCAACATGGGATATAAGGTTTAGTTGTTAAAACTCTATTTGTTTTTTTTTTTTTTGCAACATTGAAGTGCCATTTCAAAATGTTCCCAACCTCTTCCCTATTCAATGGTTTTTTTATTTCTTCCCTATTCAATCTAAGACTAACTCCAACTATTTACACCAATATCAAACCCAAAATGTGGTATATATTAAATCAAACAGTGATTTATCTCTAACCATTTACACCATATCCAAACCCAAAAAGAGTATTCCTTTCACTTTTAATACTTTTTCAATCATACCAATATATTTTATCAAAATTACACATGAATCCCACAAACTTGTGCTGATTCTTAATTTTCAAACGGAGAAGCAAATCCAGGCCTAGGACCACATGAGGTTGGGCTCGGCTCCCATTGTGGCTTTGTTCACTTCCACAACCGCCAGGCTCATCAAAATGTCATCGCAGCTGCCACGGAGGGCGGCAATGACTTTCCTCACCATGCCTTCGGCCACCAACCTGATTTTGTTCACATCATCCAAGCAGAAGTGGTGAAGCAGGTGGAGGACCCTTTCTTGTTGCCCAGAGTCGCCGTTCACATCCGTTTTTTTTTTACGTTTGTGAATAATGCCAGTAGAAATATGCGTTTTCATTGTTCAAATAATCAAATACTCAAAACTTTGGGATTTTGGCGTTGGCAAACTTGACTTAAGGAGCCAAGTTCATCCGGACCATGACCCTAGGTCTAAGCTTGAGGATGGCCACGGTCGGCCATAGAGTCCACACTGAAATCAACTCCTAGGGAACAGACGAGCACAACCACGAGTACAGAGTCTGGCCCATTACTTGTAATATATAAATAGACCCTTTCATCTTCAAGGAGAAGAATAGGATTCTAAGCTCTCCATTGTTAATATATTGAGATTTTCTATATTCTTTTACTATCCCTGTAGCCTAGAATCCATCACAAGGCTTGAAAAAATGGCTTGAAAGTTAGTCCATTGCGTGAGTATTTTTGTTTCAAAGGCATTTAAAGAAAAAAAAGAGAGAGATGAGTTACTTTGAAGTGATGGTTGGCTTTAGTAAAGCTTATATATGGAGAAGAATTGTGGACACCCAAATTGTCTTACATAACCCTTGAAACTTAGCGTTCGGCATCAGCGTTAGAGATTAGCGTTAGCGTTTTGAAAAGACTATCTGATGGTAGCCTTTAGCGTTAGCATTTTCAGAATTAATCTACACAAGTAAATTTTTATCCAAAGCGCTAATGCTAGTCGAAAACGTTGTTCCCAAAGAAGGCCTCTATCTCGGGCCGCATAGTCTTATTTGATCATTGAGTTTAGGTGAAAGACTAGACTATTTCAGGACCAGTTGGTCTTTTGAGAAAAAATAAATCATGATAGGATTGTGTTACCTTTGAAATATATTTTTATTCAAATACATTTACAATTTAAAACATACTCCGTAGTAGTTTTATCAAAATATTTATCCTATTAATATATCCGAATGACCATATTAATCTCCTCCTTTCGAAGCATTATGCCTGGGCCGAATAGTTGAGCCCAATTCCCATTGATGAACTCGTCTAATTCAAGCCCAATTCATAAACCCTCTCTCTATACTATAGCGTAACCCTCTCTTATTGTTCGCTTCCGCCTCTCATCTGCTCTGGTATTGCCGCCCTGCTTCCGGGAGCTCTGTACTAGGGTTTGATCTTTCATCGTCGGGAACTATGGCGACGGCGGCGACGGAATCGGTTCAGTGTTTCGGACGGAAGAAGACGGCGGTGGCCGTGACTCACTGCAAGACGGGGAAGGGCTTGATCAAGATCAACGGAGTGCCAATCGAGCTCATCCAGCCGGAGATTCTCCGGTTCAAGGCGTTCGAGCCGATCCTGCTCCTAGGACGCCACCGCTTCGCCGGAGTAGACATGCGCATCCGCGTTAAGGGCGGAGGCCACACCTCCCAGATCTACGCCATCCGGCAGTCCATCGCCAAGGCTCTGGTGGCGTATCACCAGAAGTACGTCGACGAGCAGTCGAAGAAGGAGATCAAGGACATTCTCGTTCGCTACGACCGCACCTTGCTCGTGGCGGATCCGAGGCGGTGCGAGCCGAAGAAGTTCGGCGGCCGTGGTGCTCGCGCCAGGTTCCAAAAATCTTACCGTTAAGAAGCAAATTCTACCATTTTTAGTCACTTCAACCTCATCTCCCTCTTATTTCTTATCCATGAAATCACTTTTTTGAAATTCTCTATTGAACTGTTATTTTCTCTGTGTTTATTGACTTGGTTCAATGAGGAAAATCTTGCATTTCTAGATTTCCCAGCATTTTATTTGATTGATGGATTCTGGAGACATATTAGTGTCTTAAATTTCTTCTTTGGTGCTTGGTTACTAGCTATTTGTTTGTGTTCTTTTGACACCAAGGTCTCCTGCCATACTAATATGACACCCATCCATTTGACAACAATAATGCTAGTGGTAAATGGGTATTCCATTTGTAGACCAAGCAAAATCAGACGCACAAAGATACTCCATGTCTGTGCACGCATTGAGTGTCTGTGTGCGTGTTTGTTTTTGCTTGGTGTACAAATGAGGCATCCCATTTTGGTGTACTTGTAGCATTGCCCATTTGACACCTCTACGTAGTTTGTTCGACTCAAAATCGTTTTTTCTCTCAATCCCCACAACCCTTAGCTTGCTCTCCCTGCCCTCTTGTAGGGTGGGCTTTGGGTCGAAGAGAGAACGTTAAGATCTTGAAATGACACCAGATGTCATATTAAGGCAGCCATGGCATTTGCCTTCACTTCTCATAAACCTAGATTTCATTTGAAGTCCAAGATTTCAACTTTAAACTTTAAGTTCTTGGATTTCAAATCTCAAAGGAGAGAGTATGGATTTGTAATTGAGTTTTGCTGGGAATTAAAGAAATTTGACTCAAACACATGTTTTTTTTATTTTCTAACATGTAATTTGAGGCAATTTTGGATTTGAAATCCAAACCCGAGTTCTGAGTTAAGCCATTAGGTCATTCTTAGAGGTGGTGTGAAATGGGATACCGAATTTTTCCCATCGCTATCATAAGCATGCTCGACTGCTCGTACCAAAATTTTGGTTTATGAAAATGCTTATAGAATCCATACCGGGAGTTTTGATATGATGAAAATCCGGCATTAGAAAAACCCGTACATTCAAATACTGTGTTTTGGTATATACTTAAGAAAATTTTGGGTTCCGAATTTGGTAATATTGAAATTAATTCAATATATTGGGATTTCGGTATTAAACAGAAGAAGAATTTACTTAAATAGCACTAAAACATAATGACTTTCCCTAAATAGCACATGTGTCTTTTTTCTCAATGTAGCAATTTTAGTCATTATTCAAGTAAATACTCCTTCCGTTCCAAAAAGAATTTCCTATTTTGATTAACGTGTAAAACCCCGTGGATTTTAAAATGATTTTATTTGCAAATTGATAAGGAAATAAGACATAAAAAAATTATATTTAAAAACTATATCGGAAACTCTACAAGATAAGAGGTAACAAGAATATTTTATTTTGTGAAATGATTAATGAAAACATGCAAACAAATTAGAGTTATCGACAAGCCGTAATAGTAAACAAGAAAGACTTTTTAGGACGGAGGAAGTATTTGTCATCATTGCACATTATGGACATTATTAAGTGCTATTTAAGGAATAAAAAAATTTAAGTGTTATTTACGGAAATGATTTAAGTTTTAGTGCTGATGGGTGTATTCCACCCACGACCGGTCAAAGGAGAAGACCAATTAGTTGACCGGTCAATCTCGAAAGTCTTGGAAGGGAGACTTAAATCGTCAGCAAATCGATTTGTAATCGGGCAAAAGATGACCGGTATACTTCGCGAAAAAGTATACCGGTCAAACTACGTTGTCACCCTATTTATTCCCAGACTTCGATGAATTCATCGCCTAAGAGGGCTTGGCGTGTAGCGACCCATGTCAGTAGAGGACAACTGGAGATGCTGAAGAATCCATCCAAGGCACTACTCGACAAAGGGAATAATCCCCTCACAAGGTGATAAGGCAGCTCAAGGACGAAACCAGTAACCTCGCACCACATCAGCAGCATGCCCCCACGTGGGCGCACGTGGCCTTGTCCCCCGTTAGCGTAGTATAAATACTCATGTAAACCTCAGAGAGGGATCCGAATTCACTCTCTCTAAACTCCCTTGTAAAAGCACCCGTGCATTCTCCGTTATAATATAAATTGGGCTACAAGTGTTTCACCTAAAGTCTTACCGGTCAATCCGCGAATTTTTACCTTTCTTACTTTGTCAAATCAAGCAAACTATACTAGACCCGGTCTAGTATAGTTTGACCGGTCAAGTAATTTACACCATCAAGTGCTATTTAGTGCAAATATTTCTAAACAGAACGAGAGAGTATTATGGAGCGAATGAAATTGCTTATTGTTGAGTGTTACTACGTACTCCGTAAAACATTGCACTTATTTTATTCCTTATTTAAGCATTTTAACAATGTATTTTGTCACTAACGATTCTCTTCTTTCTCAACAAACTTCAGTCATATATTTTTTATTTTTTGATTTTTTTTAAATTATGTGAAGTCAAAATATTACTCCCTCTATCCCAAATTAAATTGCATATTTACTAATCAAATGATCAAATTTTACTAATTTTCTTTCTCTATTTTCGTTAGTCATTTGATAAAATGATATAGTAATGTCATCACTAACTTTATAGATCTTTTAATGTAGTTTTTAAATATGTAATTTTTATTTTTTAATTCTACATTATTTTTCATAAAAATTATTTGAAAATAATTTCAGTCAAACATCGTAAACCAAAACATGTAATTTAAAATGAGACGGAAGGAGTAATAATTTAATGGCAGAGCGGGAGTGTTTACATAAACTATTTTTTGTGTTAGGCGTTATCATTTTGAAAATGGAAAATGCTAGGATGCCACCACATGAGTGCTACCGTGGGTACACTCATGCTTCGCACAGACAAACACAGACGATAATTGTCTGTATCGCACAGACAATTATCGTCTGTGTTTGTCTGTGCGAAGCATGCGTGCACCCATAGTAGCACACATGTGGTGGCACCCTAGCATGGTTCTTTGAAAATAGGGTGTGATTTTTTTGACATACTCCCCAAATGTATCATGATATTGCTCCATTTAGGGCACCACATGTCACTATATTACATCAATTATAGCTTCAAAAAAGTCATGATGGTGAAATGTGATTTGTCTAGGGATTAATCATAAACAATGATCGGTCGGTATGCCTGTCAAAGTCATGGATTAACTATATTTGCAAATATTATACCTCACCTCTCGAAATAGAAATTCAATTAAACATGGTTGGGAGGGTAGTGCCACAAAGGTATACTCAAGTTTGAAACGTAACAATGTTAAAAAATAATGACCATTTTCCTTCAAAAATTATCGTCTTAATTTGGATTTTGTGAGCTTTTTTTATCTCAAATTAAATACTTTCAAATAAATAAATTTTTTATAAAAAGGGCAAGGTTCCCATGACATTGGGAACCGTTGTCATGGGATGACCCGGGAGTCAAAATCAACTTGTGGGGTACAATTGAAGGGGGTGGGGGGTGCGTTCGGGTCGGGGCGGGGTGGGGGGGTTTACCGGGGGGGTTAAGAAGTGTAGGAACCGTCAATTTTACGAACAGGGCACCGGAGTGCCCCCGTAGACCTGGCAAAACTGAACCGGAACCGATTACCCGAACTAAAATATCCGAAACCGAAACCGGAATGACCCGAAAAATGAAGATCCGATCAATAACCGAAAACCCGAAATGATCCGAATCGAACCGAAACCGAACTAAATAATTCATATCCGATTTAAATCCGAAACCGATTAGATTCGAAACCGATAATATCCGAACCGATTAAACCCAAAATTGATTAGATCCGAACCCGATAATATCCGAAACCGATAAAATCCGAAACCGATTAGATCTGAAACCGATAATATCCAAACCTGATTAGAACTAAAATTGATAAATTCAGAACTATGTTTGCCTTTCAATAAGCATATTATATTTTTAAATTTTTTACTTTTATTTTACCATTTGAACTAATTACATTACTTGCTCATTCCCTCATAAAAAAGATTATCTTCTTGAAAAAAAGTACAAAATTTTATGCCTTAAATTTATTATATGTAGAAAGTAAAGATAAGTTATACATATAAATGATAACACACAAACAAATAAAATTTTTGTAATTTTTAAATAGTGAAGTGTGATATTCTTTTTGGAACGAAAGGAATATATGATGAATTGTATGGGATAACTAGATTTTATCCTAATTTCATCTCATTACAATAAATTTTATTGATTTGAAAGTTAATTTGATTAATTTCAAACCAATTCACTCAATATTAGTCAATAAAATTAGATGCTAGTGTTAGCATTTTGAAAAGACTCTCTAGCAGCAGACTTTACTGTTATCATTTTCAAATTTGATGTACACCATTACATTTAGGTGTAAAATTAATTATATTTGATTCTATTAAATTGAATTTTCTCTATTTTCAACCAAATATACTCAACAATTTACAAATTTTGCAGTCAATTGAATAAAATTCACTTAATTTCAACCAATTTTACTCAATTTTTACCAAATTGTATTAAAATGGAACATAAGACTATTTGAATTTATCTTTTATCCTTTCATTTATATACATAAGTATATTAGTAGATGTTAGAAAGATTTGATATTTCAAAATTAAATTTTAAAATTAATTTAATTATATTAAATTTATATCATAATTAAATATATGTGTTTTCATAATTTGTAGTCCAAATTTGTAAAATATGACTAAAAAGTCAAAAAGGGAAGATTATTTAGGGTAGAGATAATATAAATAGAAAAAAAATATAAAATAATATGAGGTATTGAATTGCTGATAAATTGATAAATGTGATAAAACATAAAAAGAAACACGGATAGTTAAATTTTAATTAGAAAATAATATATATCCAAAATATATTTGATCCGAAACCGAAATATATCCGAACCGAACTAGACCCGAAACCGAAATATATCCGACTCAAATTATATCTGAACCGAAATCTATCCTAACCGATTTATAACCGAACCGTATCTGAACCGACTCGAAACCGAACCGAACCAAAAAATGTATAGAACCGAAATCAAATCCGAACCGAAATTTAACCGATCCAAACCGAACCGATTATAACATATAACCGAAAGATATCCGAACCGAAAAAATCCAACCCGAAACCGATCCGGTTGATCCGATTGCCACCTCTATGCCCCCGGGTCATCCCATGACATTGGTTCCCAATGTCATGGGAACCAAGGTGTTATAAAAATTTGATATTTCAAAACTATATTTTAACATAAATATAATTATACTCTCTCCGTCTCCAATTTGATGAGAATTTTTCTCTCTTGATAACTTTTATTTGTTTACGCAATTTCATTAAATAATTGATAAAAAATATATATTCTTGTCACCTCTTATTTTGTAGAACTTTTGACGTACCTTTTAATATGTAATTTTTATTTCTTATCGATATATCGATAAGTAAATAGAATAATTTTAAAAAGTAAGATAATTTTCCTCGTTAACCCCAAATAAGAAATCACCCTACGTAGCACTTTAACTCACCCAATATTACGCATTCAACACTACTCATTGTGTTTTACAAACTAAGCTATTTATGGTGTCAATCTGTTCTTATCATACCCTTTACCCTTTTATTATAATTTACTCTTTTTTTAATGTATTGCCGTCTAACTCCTACGTTATTGTCGTCCGACTCCTCCTACGCGAGAGATGATACCTGCGAAATTAAACGAAGCTATTGTCGAATCTATTGCCAATCTTCTCCACTGCCAAACTCACGAATTCAATCCACTGCCAAACACACGAATTTACTGCCAAATTAAAAAAACTCAATCCACTGCCAAATTAAAAAAAACTCAATCCACTGCCAAACTCACAAATTTACTGCCAAATTAAAAGAATCTATTGCCGAATCCACTGTCAATCTTCTCTACTGCCAAATTCAACGAAGCTATTGCCAAATCCACTACCAAATAAAACGATTTCACTGCGAAATTAAACTAAACATACATATATCTTCTCCAATATTTTGCTAAAAAAATCTCGTCCAGTGCATCATCCTTTGCCATCGAAACCCTTGTGCGTCTCCTTCCCGATGCTGCTTCTGCTTTCAAGGCCATATTTGGGATGTTTTTTCGATAATATGGCGTGAAGATCAGATCTTCCATACGCAAGAGTACTTGAGGGCTGCCAATTACCGATTTTTTATAATTCAATTTTGGATGTTTAATTAAGAACAAAATCGGAAATGCATCTCAAAAACCTATAGCACTGCTATTTTGAATATTATAGGGCTATATTAGTGCTATTATGGTATTTCTCCCTAATCAAATTGGGGATCAAGGGAGTATTAGATTTACACTTCGTATTACTTCCTTCGTTCAAATTAAACTCCTGTACATGTTTACTATTTACACGGTCAAACTTCATACATTTTCTTTTTCAATTTTCATTAGCCATTTGGTAAACTGATATAGTCATGTCACCATTAGTTTCGTAGATCTTTTGATCTAGTTTTTAAATATGTAATTTTTATCCTTTTAATTTAATACCATTTTTAATATAAATGATTTGAAAATAATTTCAGTCAAACATCGTAAACTTAAATAGATAATTTAAATTAGGACATAAGGAGTATAACTAATTTTTTTTTATAATTTACGTCGACCAAAAAAATTAAACTCAATCGGTTAGAACACCCCCCCCCCCCTCCCCCCCGCCAAGGCAGAAGCTGCGGGTTCGGGCATTGTTAGCCCTGATGGACTCAATGTCGACTTAGGCTGATTCAATAAGCCAAGGGAAAACAACCACTCCTTGTTTTTAACACTCAATCAACCCTTCATTTCTTCTTTCATTGTCAAACGTCGTTGTAAAGATTATATATTCGCCATATCTTAAAAATCCAATCTACAGAACTCTATCCCCAAACCCATTTCTCTTGGTCCCTTAGCGCTTGCGCCATCCAAAGGCGCCTTTTGTCTAACGACCCTTATGAGATGATCAACATGGCACAAAGAGTATGGCTCATTAGAATTGTATTGGG